AAAGTTAGAGATTTTTTACGAATCTAAATATTAAATATGAGGAACTGCTTTGCTTATAGAATTTCAAAATGGTTTCCTGACTGTATTTCCATATATTTTCACATTGATTTTTATAGGAATTCGGTGAATAAAGAGTATCAACTGAACAAGGAGTATTATCCACATATATACTTTAGATATTTTTCTAGAATCTCAATTTAAATAATAGTGTTTAAAGTTTGGGCCTATCGGCTGCAAATATCGCATTAGAGTTCAATTTCATGATCTTCCCACTTGTTCAACTAGTTAAATCTTCTGGTATCTATGTTCATAAATACACTTTCTAATTCTTCACAGATATCTCTATATATAGAGATCTATAGTGTCTTCTTTCACAAATTTCGTTTTCACTTTAACATATTTCCAATGATTGACTATGCCATATTCCTATGAAGAGCCTTTCGGGTATTTCACTTTATCGTTGTCTTCATCCTCCTCCATCTTTGATCTCATACTCACTTTTCGATTGCAAGTTCTTCAAGTGCTCCACAGTTAGCTGCAGTATCTCGGCCTTCTCCAGCTTGGCTGAGCCCTGCTTCTCGTAGGCGGAGGGCACCAGACGCTTCAGTTCGGTCAGCGATGAATTGATGCGATCTCTGCGCTTCTTTTCGATGACGCCGCGACGCTTCTTGCGGCTCATCAGCTGGCAGCTTCCACCTTCACCAGGTGAGATTCTGATTGTAAATAAAGCAAAAGGCAGAGAAACTGTTAGTAAATTCACCGAGTTTTAATTCACAAGTTCATTGCGCATACGCACTGTTCTTTGGAAGACTCCTCCGAGTAGAGCTCGTCGCAGTCGCTCTCGGAGAGCGCGCGCTTCAGACTGTTGTGCGAATGGTGGCTCTGGTGACTCTGATGGCTGTGATGGCTCTGCAGGCTCTGCAGGCTCTGGTGACTGTGGCTCTGCGGCGGCGGCACCCAGTGGCCTTGGGGCGTGGCCGGCATGGCGGCAGCAGCGGCGCCATAGCCCCAATGATGCAGAGGCGGTGCATTCACGTGCATATTGTGCTCCATTGAATTGAATTTGAATTCGAATTGGAAACGGAATTGGAATTGAATTGAGTTTTATCTTTAGAATCACTTGGTAACCGGGCTTAGCACTAAAAAGGCTCGCAGCTATAGTTGTAGTTGTAGCTGTAGTTGTAGTGCGGAGCACGTGACTTATCGTGTGCGCGAACGGCGTTCGACTGATTTGCCAGCACACGACTAGCGGACGTTCAGGCCGCCGTTTGCCCAACCTACTCTCAACCCCTTTTGTCATGCCGCTGCCGGAGGCAACAACAAGCAACAGCCAACAGCAGCAGCGGCCCAATAAGATGCCGCAGCAACCACCCCCTTGGCAACGTGCAGCGCTGCGCGTGCCGCACCGGCTGGGGGTAGCTTGCGGGCAGTGCCCGTGCTCTATGCTCTATGGGCACTACCTCAGCCACCGCCTCTGCTGCTGGCTCTGGCTCTGGCTCTGCTTCTGCCTAGCGATCAGCTTCTGCAAGTGACCAACAAATGAGCAAGGAGAAGAGCATACGCTGCGACAGGAGTGTGTGTGTGAGAGAGAGAGAGAGTGAGTGAGCACGTTTAGTTGCTTGACTCATTCGCACTTGCAGCATATTGTTAATACCCATTGCAAGTGTTGGGCAATGGGAGTTTGGATAATAAGAGAATGCGGAAGAGAGAGTAAAGCAGCTTTAGCTATTCATAGAAATATTTCTAGGTGAAATTGTATATTTATATTCATTCGGATCGGATGCTTAGATCGTTAAATATTATATTAGTTTATTATTATTATTATTTGTTTTTTTTTTTTGGTGCCGTAGTTTTTGTAATAATATTACAATTAGATCGATGATTATCGACATACCAATAATGTATTATACTGTCAAATTAAATCTATAAATTTAGGAAAATTTCGTATAGTTAAATTAACTACTACTTTTATCAATAAAGATTAAGATTTTTGTTGGTATCACTCGCTCAAAATGTCAACGATATACATACATACATATATCGATATAGAGTCTTAGTTTCCTTTGGCTTTTCTCTAAAACCCAATCTAAACATTTATATACAGGGTATCTGCTAGTCGTTCATTTTTCTCCACTGAAACACTTCAATATCTTCTAGCCAAGTGCAATGCAAATGAATAATGTAAATAATTGTTATTAGTTAGTTCTTATGTCATCGAATGTCGATTGTATCAAGCAGCAGCAGCAGCAGGAGCAGGAGCAGGAGCAGGAGCAGCAGGATGCGTGGCAGCAACAACAACAACAACAGCAACAGCAGCAGCCGCAGCATCGGCGCCGTGGGCGGTGGCCGACGTCTGCCACAGTTTGTCGCATTGTCTTTTTGGCGGCCACTTGCCAGCGCGTTGACTTGTTGCCTCTGCCGCTGCCTCTGCCTCTGCCTCCGTGGCACACACACAACTGGAGCACGCGACCGAGCCGCCAGCCCGAACGGCCGCCGGGCTCGTGTGCGGCATGTGGCATGTGGCATGCGGCTCCAACAAGTGCAACGCCGCCCCGTCCTATTTGCTCTCTGTGTGCGGCCCGGCGCCCGCAGTTTGTAGGTCAGTGGTCCAATTTATGATTTCAAGGTCAGTTTGGAGCAGGTGCCGCAACGTCGTTGACCTCTGACCCAGAGAAACAACAATCGATGATTCTCTCGGCCCAAAGGAGGCTGCGCTCAAATTGAATGATATTATATATTAGATAACAAAATTATTAAAGTGACTTTGAGCTGGATTTGCAATGAAATATTAAAGGAATTTATACATACAAAAATAATTCTGATTAGTTAAATGATAATTGCATAAATTAGTATTACATGTATTATAGTATTAAATTATAAAAAAATTTATATTAAAATATAAACAAAAAATATATATATATTATATTTGTTATTTAAACAAATTGTGAACAGCAGAATTTTATTATTAACATAACAGTCTGACACATTTTTCAAACCAAAACTTCCTCAAGTTGATGAGTCCCGAAATAGACTCTATGCATGGATATTTTTAACAATTCTTATCTGGATAGCTTTATAGCTTGCAACCTGTCCAGCATAGTATTTTTATCACATACAATCAAAATTTTCTTCGCTTTTAACAATGGCTTCTAGAATTGTATACTCAGAGCATAAAAAAAAACATCAATTTATTTACTTTTTTTGCATCCTCAGACAATTCAATGCTTAGTCTGAAGTGAATTATGAATATTTGTCTTTTAATACTAAACAAAAGTCAAATAAGCTAAAATATGGAAATTATATTAAATTATATGTAGAATTTGCTCATGTTGCTATACCTGAATTTTTTATTATTTATATTATATTATTTATCTATGTGCTGAATGCAGAGATTATGCCAAATCATGCCACAGGCTTATGCTACACTTTTCTCAGGATACTCCAATAGTAGTAAACGAAAAGTTGAGAAACTTCGCATAGCGTCCATTTCAATATCTGTCTTTGATTTTGACTAAAGAAATGATCTGAATTAACAAAAAATTTATATATATTATTTATTTATATATTTTAATGTATATTAAATTTTTTCTCTAATTTAAAAAAATAAAATAAATAAAACTTGAATAAAAAATAAATTAAAATAAAATATATATATAAATAAATACTACAAACAAACTGATATGTATTTATTTTATTTTATTTTATATCATATACATATACATATATAAAATCCACATGAGCTCCTTGACTTGCTCTAAGTCAACAAAAAGAAAAAAAAATAAACTAAAACTGAATTCTTTCAAGCTAAGCACAGTTTGTGGCTCCGCAAATCAAATAAAATACAGCCAGACATGCAAGCCATTTAATTTGCAGACAATTTTCAAAGTGTACAGCGCGGCGTATGCTCGATATTGGCTATGAGGGAGCAGCAGAAGAAGAGGAAGCAGAAGTCTCCACCTCTCACATTGTATCGATTTCATTTTGGCAAATAAAAATGATGATGAAAAGTGCTTTTCGAGCTCGTCGCTCAGGTTCCCAACAACAAAAGGCGAAACAAGAAGCAAGTTCATATGAGAGTTATAATTGTTGTTAGCGGCGCGTGGGACAACGCCAACACCAACAACAACAACAACAACAACAACAACAGGAGGCGAATAGTTGTTGGCAAGAGCTCACCCTTAAGGCTGGTCGCCGCTAGCCGAGCCACCACCACCAACCCAGCGAGCCGCAGTGAGTGAAAAATGGCTCGTGGGAAAGCCAAAGGTTCGACGATTCTCACGCATGTTCAGCACGTGCGGGTCGTGCGACCATCTACAACAACAACAACAAGAATGAAACAACAACACGGTTAAGAAAAGCGCAGAGCAAATCGTTTGAAGTGCATTTAATGCACGTCGAGCAATACGAGCGACGCTTTTGTGGTACGACGATATTCCATACACTTACCAAAATGATATTCACGATCTGTTATAAAACAGGTATATGGTAAAGTCAAGGTGCTAAGGTGCTATACATATGTATATATATACATATAAATTAAAATTCTCTATCACTCTCTATCTCTATCTTTCTCTCTCTATATATATTTAAATTTATTTATATATCTGTCTGTCTGTCTCTCTCTCTCTCTCTCTCTCTCTCTTAGATTCTCAAGTGACAAGTTAATCATATTCTATATAAAATACTTTTGGAGAGCAGTTGTTAGGGCATTCAAACTTCGCCTCGCTGAATTCCCACATTGCTTAATGGCTTTTTTTTTACGTAATTCTAACCAATTTTTATATAATAAAAAAATAATGAAAATTGGCTAGCGATTATAATCAAGCGTGGTAAATGAATTTAAAAATGCCGAGGACAGAGCTAAAACATTTTAGATCAAATATAGCTCAAACTAATTGGGAACTGTGGAGAAAAAGTTGTAGACTTTAAAGACTCTGAAATGCATTATAGTTTTTGTTGTTGTTCAATTTCCAGCTAAAATAAAACATTCAAAACTCTTTGCTTCAATATATAGTTCGTATAATTCTCGAAAAAACAAATGGAAACTCTGTGAGGGACAGGGAAAAATCCATTTTAGGGAAATTTCTGTTAACATTTTTAGAAACTCTTAAGGCATTGATTATAGTTGTTGTTATTGTTGTAGTTGTTGTTGCTGATTTGCTGCTGCTGCTGCTGCTGCTGCTGCTGCTGCTGCTTCTTCTTCGTCTTTTGGCTGCTTTGTAGTAATATTTGCGCCTCGTCCGCATCATCGATCCAAGTTTCCAGGGTGCAGGCGCTGGAATGATGACTCGATCTCTGGGAATGATTCGAGCTGCTCAGCCGCTTGCCACTGGGCAGCGCCTGCAGCTGCCGCCAACGGCTGTCGAAGTTGGCCCAATGCTGGCGCAGATCGAATGGCTGCTCCTCATCCTGCTCCTCCTCCAGGGAGTTGCCATTGATGTCCCATTTGACAATGGGATAGTCGTCGTGCGGCGGCTGCTCTCTGATTATCAAATTGTGATACTGCCCATCGAACTGGGAGCCCAAACTGTAGCTGAACCCACGCTGCTCCTGCTCCCGATCCCGTTGCAGATCGAGACTGGAATTGGAGGGCGTGTGCCGCAGATAGCGCACGTTCTCCTTGTAGTGCATCAAGTCGAATTGTATATCTAGATGTGAAGGCTCTTCCTCCAGCTGCTCCACGAACGCCTCGCTGGCATCTTCACACTGGGATTGGACGGATCTCTGTGGTTGATTATTGTGGTACGGGTATTGCTTATCATTTATGGTAAGTGGATTGCAGTTGCAGCCCAGCGGCTCCTCCTTCTGCTGCTGCACTCGCTCCTTTGCCGCCTCCGCCTTCGCCTCCTCCTCCTCCTCATCCTCGTCCTGCTCCTCATCCTCCAGTCGCTGCACAAATAGTTGCTTTGATGTCGATATTTTGCGCAGCAGCTGCATAAAAATAAAACTCAATGTTAATGCGCATCAGGAGTAGCTTTTAGTTGAGCTGCTGCTCTGGGTGCTGCTGTGACTGATGTTACTGGTGCTATTACAGCTATTATCGTCCCACCAAAAGGTCAGCGCCACACGCAGCTATCGATTTTTATACGCTACACTCAGTCAGCTGAATTTATATGGGGTATATGGGTTTTGGGCAAGAGCTTGTATAGGGTAGAGGGTAGGCGTTGACACTTGCTATAAGGAGTCTAAGGAGTACTAAAGTCAGCAAATTGTAGACCAGTCTAACTGTATATTTATATTGTACGTTATTAACGGAGTCGTTATACGGTATATTATATTGCTAGAAACTACAATAACTTTCATTTTACCTCCTTACTTCCTTTTCTACATCTCTGTTTAAGTCAAAGCCTTTGTCTAGGGCAACACTGAATCAGTCCACAAATCATCCAATTCACCTGTTCTTTGCAGTACACTGCATATTCCGATATATACCACCTCACTCAGGGTATTTACTAGTCGGTCATTCAACTTGAGTCACTTTTATTCATTGTTGTATTTTTGTATTTTATTGATTGGGCACAGGGACCCACCCACGACCGCATAGGCTCACCTTGAGACAGGACTTCTTGGTGCGCCTCAGCAAGTGGGACATGACAGCGCTCAGAGTGTGTCTATTGTGGTTGTTGTTGTAGAAGTTGTTGTTGTTGCTGCTATTGTTCAATGCGAAACAGACTTGAGCCACGCGACATTTTGATTGTTGCGGCTGCTGCTCCTGCTGCTGTTCCTGCTCCTGCTGCTGCTGCTGCTACTGCGGCTGCGGCTGCTGCAGTTCGTCGGCAAATCCAAACTGAAATTGGAAACAGAAATGTTATAGAAACGCTTGTGTTTAACCCTCTCCCGGCTAGGCGTTGTGGCTGAGCTTAGTCGAACGATTCGGCGGCGGTCGCAGGTGGACGTGAGCAGCTCGCTCGTGTTTTTGCCGCATGACTCATAGAGCAGCAGGAATTGCAAGTGCCAAAACGAGCTAAACACACGCACACACACACAGACAGGCACACACATCGACAGCTGAGAGCCGAAGGCTTTTGTCGGCACCGGCGCAGTAAACATAATCTCTATATATAAGGCGCCATCGCCTATATTGTTTGAGTGCAGATTTCTGGTATTTGAGGCCCATTTCGAGTGGACCCTCGAGTGCAAATAGCGTCAACGAGCAGCCAAATGCGCTAATGTGCTAATGCGTCAGACTCAACCCGACTGCGCCCGTTTCCCCCCGGAGCCCCTGAGGCTCAAAGCCTCTAAGCCTCGGAGCCAACACTTGAGCGGGCCAGCCTTGGCTGCGTATTTTCATTGTGGCCTGGCGCCAATTTGTTGCCATAAATTACTTTGTCCTGATTTCTTTTTTGTTTTCTAGAGCACTCCCCCAGTGTAGGAGCGGAAGAAGCAGAATTTGAAGAAGAAGCAGAATTGCCAAGCAAATTGGAGTTGGTGAAATGCTCTATAAAAATTTGAATATTTTTGTGAAAGATTTAAGCTAAGAAATATATGTATTTAATATATATTTTAAATGTTGAGTTATTTAGATAAAGTTTGTAGAAACTCTAGACAATTTTTTGTTTTTGTTTTTTTGTTTTAAGAGAAATTATAAAATATATTTATTTATTTATTTATTTATTTACGTACGTAGTTATAGTAATAGTAGTAATAGAAGTAATAGTAGGAAAAGGAGTAATAGTAGTAGTAAAAGCAATCATAGCAGGAGTAATAGTAGTAGTAGAAGTAGTCAAAGTAGTAGTAATAGTAGTAGATGTAGTCATAGTAGTAGTAATAGTAGTAAATGTAGATGTAGTCATAGAAGTAGTAATAGTAGTAGTAGATGTAGTCATAGAAGTAGTAATAGTAGTAGTAGATGTAGTCATAGTAGTAG